CATTTTTAAATAACGTTAAAATCAGTATGAAGAGCAGCTCAATAACAGTTATTAAGTGTATATATCCAGTTCTCCTTATCTCCCTTATTTATCCTGGCCTTTACCTGTCAATTTTCCGAGTTACAAATCCTCTTTGTTTCTGCTGAATCTTGCCCAAGAAGACAGAAAGCAGCACACACAATATCAAGATACAGTACATGGTGCAGAATAAACCATCAGCAGGCTGCCAAGTATGGAGAAAGATAGGAAACAGAAAAAAGCCTATGTGTACAATTTTCAATTTTAAACAGGAAATTAGGAATAAAAATTTCCTTTTCATTTTGGGCCAGTTTGTCTTTTTGAAGTTTCTATTTATTTTTTCACTTTGCGAAGAGCCCTGTAACACACAAAATTTAGCTATGATGTAAATCATATTTCAGAGTAGCACACTTTTAGTGGAGCTAATAAATAAAGTTTTAAATTCCTCTTATCCCAGAGAAGAGCTACACTGTACCAGGGGTTTTAGTACTTTTATTTCAGAGGCCTCTGGAGACAGCACTCAGTCTTTACAACAGAAATTCACTGTCATGTTTTAATAGACAGAAAATCTCTCTACTTCAATTCTTTGTATTTTATTATGGCTTTGGTTAGGCTAACCAATCACCAGTCACTCAGTGCAGAATATTACCAAAAATGTATTTTTCTTGCATGCTAAAATATCAAGTCTCAAAGCCCCTGACAGAATGAATTATATTGCTTGTTCAGAAGTTTCTGTACAGGAGAAAAATTAATGTCATTTAGCAATGTTAACAGAAGACAAAGTAATAGCAAATGAGAATTCCTTTGTTACAAATCTGCAAAAGGTAAAAGGCTGGATTCCTTGAGCAATTATACAGACTTCTAGCAACAAACACATCCTTTCACAACGCAATTTTGGTGTTACAAAAAATCTGACTATATTTGTAAGAAACAAACTACATTTAAAAAAACTGAAGAAAGTAGTGAATGACGTGCATAGGTTTTCTCAAAAGGAACTGCAGGAAAGGGTAGTGAAACAAACTGGCTGTGAAGTGAAGAATTTCACCGTTCACTGTTTTGCTATCTTCTAAATAAGAAGAAAGTATTATGAAAATCATGATGTGGAACGTAACAGACTTCCCCATGTCAGGTGAGAGTGCTCTCATGCATGCAGGGGCTCTGAAGAAGGAAAGCCCTTTCAATAAGGATATATACTTAATCTATTTATTGTTCAACTGATGACCTGGAATATCCTCTTAAGAAAGGAGGAGACAACAGAAAAAGAATTTATCAGCACACAAACTTTCACCCTCTTCTTCCCTCCCGGCCCACAGATTGCTTCGTGGTTGTCAGTGGGAGCATTTTTATAGCGTGTTAAATTTAACTATAATGTCAGTTTGAAGTTGTTAAGCTTGTGCAGTTTCTCTTTTTTATAGAACGAAAGCAAACAGATCACGCATTCGACGTAGCTCTCCTGTCACTCCGCAGGGAAGCTGCAGAGGCTCTGTCACATTCGCAGCGGCTGCTGAGAAGCAGGAAGGTCAGGGGGCTGCAGCTCTTAATCCAGAGCCAACATTTTCAAGCACTGCACTTATCCACCACCTTCAAGACCTGACGGCTTTGCCTGGCTGCACTGACTACTATTCTGTTTGAATTTTACAAATGACAAATGCATTTTATACAGTAAGTCCTAAAAAAACTTATCACAATTGTTTGAAGTCTAGGAGTAAAACTGAAAAAAAAGACTGTCTAGGGTTTAATGCATATGAAGAAATGGTATTGATTATTCTTCATTTATTTAAACATTTATGTTTCTTGCAAACTGGTGGTTACTTTGATAATCTGAGTGTTGTTCACAATTGAAAATAGCACATATACAGTATGTGGCTCCCGTATACAGTGTGTATACTGTAGCTCTAAATAATTTATACAGTGCCTTGCGAAAGTATTCGGCCCCCTTGAACTTTTCAACCTTTTGCCACATTTCAGGCTTCAAACATAAAGATATAAATTTTTTATT